TTTGCAGTGCATGTATGCACGGTACCCCTTTCGTGACAACGGGGGTAGAACGTGTACGCGCGCGCGCGCACAAGCGAGTGCTCGGAAATTTGTCTTGCGACGGAAACTTTTTCAGGACGTAGTCTCGTCGCGACCCGGATGTCAGGTTTCGTACGAAGGGATGCTTGCTTACTCTAATGTCACAGACCTGGCAAGTCTTGTCGCAGTGTCTCGTGCAACCGTACCGACCAGCTTTCATGTCGCCTCCGTTGTCGATTGTTCGAAGCACCTACGATTCGTCGCCATGACAACGCGAATTCAAAAGTGTACACGGTGACGTGAATTATCGCTGGTTTAACCCGGAAGATACGAGCCGCGACACGAAACTCAGACTTTCGAGGAAATATAGGAAGACGAGAGGAACGGTGGAATATTCTTTGAGGTATTTCTTAGTAACAAGGTACCATAAACGGCGTCATCGTCGCTATTACTATGCATCTATCAAAGGAGCGATGTTACGAGAAATATTTATCTCGGCTTTATACCCGATCTGCATAAGGGTGTCTGGCGTGCAGCACGAGGCCAGGGTGTTGTAAAGTAAATGCAAAGAGTGGCGCGCGCAGAAGTCCTCGTTCACGTGAAGTAGCACGGAAGAAGGGACGATTTATGGTCATTAAATAATGTAACGAAATTTATTCCGCCGCCTCCGTTCCAGGAATTCGCGGCGTTAAATTTTCGAGGCACGAACGTGTGTCTGCGATTGCGATATTAATGGTCGCGGTGTAATAGGGATCCGATAACTGGCAACCGGCCAACAATCGACTCGGCTCTGCTTCATTGCGAAATTCCGCGGCCAAAGAAATTGCACTGGCTTCGTTTCGCCGCGTGTTGCGCCTGCCTGACAGTTAGTTTCGCGGTGGGTGCGATTTTCACACCGAGCGACCGATCTTCCGTTCCTCGTCGGCATCGCGCGCGGTCCATTAACGAAGCCGCGTTACTTTTCTCGGGCGCTCTGAAAAATTTAGACACACCGTGGAACTTGCTCCTCGTCCGCCGCATGCCGCGAATAAATATTTCCCTACCCATTAAACAGCTACCGGGAGCAGCGAAGTTTCTTATTTCCACGAGGACAGTCTTCCACCCATTTTTCCACCCTGCTGGAATAGTCGTCGCGGACCGTGTTCTTCTTTCCTAGTTCGCGGCGCAACCGTAGCGGAGATAACTCGTTAGCATAGTAGTAACAACCTTGCCGTGTTATTTATGACTCTCGTGGTCCTCCGAGAATATAATTCAATCGTGGTGCAAAGCTGCACGCGTTTCGTTGTGAAATACGTTTCAAAGAATAGTTTCGAGAAGATTCCGCAATTAAAATAGGCCGAGTTCGACGTAAACGAAACACGTAGGTCAGGATCGGCTTTCGGATGACGAGTATCAGGGAATTGCGCGAATCTCGGTCGCGATATCGTGGTAATAATTCCCTGGCAAATCCGTGGCCCCTGGATGGTGAAAGATCTAAGCAGGGTCGCAGGGCGGAATCTCGACGTTATCGCGAACCTGGCGGAAACTTTTCATAGGGCCGGGTCATTGGCCCGCAATCGAGAGATACCTGGTCGGATAGGGCACGCGATGCATTAAGACCGAATTTAGTCGACGGGGCGCGATGGCGCGCGCGGCTCGGTGCATGCACCCCCGGCTTCTGCATATGCATTCGCGTGACTCTACTGGCCTGTAATAAGTGAATTCACGTTCGCTCGGGCCGAAAACTTAGCTGACAAACTCTGCCGCCGTGCTGCACGAGGTCATTCAGCTCGCGAAACTCGCTTGTTTTCAGACTGTTTAACGGTTTCCCAGAGACCTGCTTTTTCGACGGGCCGCATGCAACGCGAATGCGGTCGTGAACTATGGATCCGCCATCGGACCGCATGCAGGTTCGCGTGTGTTCACCCCTTTCGCCTGCCGCGGTCATTGATTCCGCGTCGTGTTTATTCCAAGTACTTTGCCTCGTGTTTCCGATTTAACCCACTGAATCCTGACGACCCTAAATGAATACAGAAATGAATTTTCGTATTTCCGAGGGGTCATTAATAATTTCATCGCAGAGGAAATCAACGCGGGGTATCGATATCGGTCTCTGTGATGGATTTCTCGTAAACGTATCATTTCATCTCCGAAATGCGTAGCCCGAGGATCGTTAATAACGAAGATCGAACTATATTCGAGCGCGGTTCTCTGCATTTTCGTTTAGACAAGAAATATTCGTGGACGAGAAAGGACGATCCGTATGGACGTACGGCACATCCATTTCGCGCATCCGTGCGTCAGTCATACTTGATGGATTCGTCGAATACGTCGGCAAAAATAGTAGGGGATCGCGAAGGAACGTGCTTCTACGTTATGGCGAAAATTCGAAGAATGCGACGCGAGCTTCGAGTGCTTCTTGATGTCAATAACGAGCCGCGATGGTGCTAAAAGTTTCGCGCGGCAAGGAAATACCCCAGACGAAATTCCTGATACAGGCTCCACCCAGGCATTGTGCTCTTATCTTTCCGAATAGCGGGAGGCCGATAAAACTTTCGGTATATTTCTGCTATCTGCTGCCTAAACGGAGCACTCGCTCCAAGTTCGCGCTCGGGCATCGTTGCGTTTCGGTGCCATATTTGCGAGTAGCTTTTAAGCAGTGCAACTTACCGGAGAACTTTCGATTTCGTGCTTACTCTACCCGGAAAGATGAAACGAAAATTATGGTATTTCGGTCGAGTCGAAGTTGCAGGGTACCGAGATCATTCGTAACACCTGCGATAGCTAAACGAAAGACACGTATAAATCGAATAGGAACGTGGCCGGATTTATCTTTTTGCGAGGTCGTCACGTTCATCGGGAAGTCGCGAATTGCGGCTGGAGGCGCGTCGGACCGACGGGAAGAAGATTAGATTACTTAGAAGGGTCCCCTCGAGTTCAGCCGTAAAGAGGTTTATCGCGACGAGAGCGACAGGGGGTGGAGGATACAAAGGAACCCAACGCGTTCGTTGCCGATGTCGTAAAAGCGTCACAGACAGGATCCGTCGATGGCCGGAGGAAGCAGCGGCCATTAAGAAAAGTCGAGTTCAATAAACTTTCGAACAAAACGGTTGAGTTATTGATCTTGCAGTTACGTCACGTTACCTCTTTTCCACCTGGCAGCCCGTCTATCGAACCGCACCGACCCAACTCGCAATCTCTGACGCGCAAATGATCCTGGAAAAGTGCCTGGAATCACGAAGAAATTCGATCTTTGCGGACTTGCTCGTCGCGTGGTTCCGGTCCGCGTGTCCTCGTGGCGAATTTTTAGCGAAGAAACGGGTTACCGTGGAGAAAATAACAGGACACTCGGGTGATAAATACGCGCGAACTCGCGACGAACTTTGTTGTAATCTGATTAACGCGCGGATTCGTGTTTGCGGAAAAGCTTCGCGGAGAGCACTTACTTAACGCCGTGCAAAAAGCACCGCGATGAATTGATTTTCGCGAGAACTTTCGCTAACTGGCTGAGAACTCCGCGAGTACGAGGATTGGGTCACGTTCTTCTCTGATTCTCGACAATTGGGACAATTAGGATGAACAACAATGTTGCACGGTTCACATATGTGATAGGATCGGGTTAATAAATTTCAATAAGAATTTTTACTCTGGATTTTATTATTAATTTTGGAATGGTGTATGCGGAGACTCGAGTTTTCCTGTGATTTCTCAAGAAAGAGGGTCCCTTAGAACTCTTCGGCAAGGGTATGTAGGCTCTATAATACCAGCCCATTGAGTCGTTTAACACTAGAACTACCAATCTTTAATGGGTACCTAACTATAACGTGCACTGATTATAGTCATTTCAGCGATACGATGAATGTGAGTGAATATATTGATTACAGTTCTTTCTTAACACTAGATTTACGAAACCCGTCAATTTGACGGATGGGTTGCTCTAATTATACGATGGTAACAGATTTAGTTAACTTATATTAACACTGTTAATATAATATATAATTGTTTTTAAATTAAATTACACTAAAAACAGGCACGTGGTTTTCGTTACCTGTAAATTTGACAGGTGTCCGTAGAAATAGGTATACAGATAGCGTCCGTGAACCTAGTGTTAATATGAGTTGATACCAATTTTATTCTTAAAGCAGGTGTATGTGTTCGGTGATTGCAAAAGGAAAAATTCTGGGACCAGTCATTTTGACTGGGTTGGTAGTTCTAGTGTTAACCTACCTTCGAGGAACCATCCAGCTTATCAATTTTCCTCTATGCAGGATGACGTTATCCAAATAAAGATTTCTCTCACACATATGTTCATGCATCTCACGGTATCGTTTTTCGGAATAATTTCTTCCCTCCTTTGTTTTCGAAAGTTCAGTGGGTCCGCTTCGTCGAAAATATTTTGAAAATGGGGTTTGTGGACCGAAATATTGAAACAGAGAAAAATTTGCAGATAGCTTGCATTCGCAAAAAGAAACTTGGAAACAAATCAGTCGAGCGGACTCGATGCCTATTGGGAACGTTTCAATTTTCACTCATATCGGGCCAACGTTCAAATTGTGCAAACTGTTTGTTGTTTTCGAAATTGTTTTGCCGGAAAATTGTCGATATATCTGAATTAAATTGGAAGAAAAATATATTTTATTTTACTCGTTAACTGTACATCAACGTTATCGAAACTTACGATATATGACTATAATTGCTTTAGAAATGAATCGCTATATCAAACTTTACTGCTCGAAACTCCAGAAAGCGCGATAATCCATTGATTCGGATTTACAATAAACAGCGGTCGTTAATTAGTAAAATGGTCGTTAAACAGGTGAACCCACAGTGATGGTTTAGAATTAACGGTGTCGAAATAGCACGGCTATTGTCACGAAATGTCCAAAATCGATATTCCGCCCGTTCCATGCCCCAATTTCCGATTTACCACCCGCTGCAAAGGTTCCCGATTCGATCGGCGCGTACATTCTCGATTTGATCGCTTGCTCTCGTCTTTGCGGGACTCAGGCACCCAGGAGACGCTTCACCAGGTATCCAGGGAATGCGTAAATTGCGCAACCTGCCAGCAGCACTAGCAGCAGGCACACGAAGAAGCATATTATCCTCCATTTGTAATAGCGGCAGACCACGAAGCGAAACGCTTTCCAGGGGTTCCGGAACCAGGAGAACGAAGTATCCGGTCGGCTGCAAATTAAGGGAAGTAGGATGTCATCCGATACGATTGATTCCGAGTGAAAAATGATCGTGAACGTTTCCAACGGCGTTAACAAATATAGCAGCGTTGATGGCCGTCGTCATTACCGATGCTCATTTAATTACATAATAGCACTTTAATGGCGGCCAATGTGATCGGGTTTAATTACACTCGCCATGCAGTCGCGATCAATTCGCTGGGGCTGAGGCTATCAAACGTTTGAACTTTATTGTTCTTGCCATTGAGTAAATGTTTCGGTAGCCTGTGCGCGTTTGTCTCTATCCATTCCGACGATACTCGTGCTCCTGTATCGGTAAGCGGTTAATTAATTAAAAGGCCAGTCGCGAAATGCTCGGGGTAGAATGGACACCTCGGAAAGTCATTAAAATAGCAATTTCTGGCGAATCACTGCGTATGCGTGTGGTAGAAACAACGGAGAATGAAGACATTACGATGAATTAAAGTTGTTTAACGACTCGCCGAACATACCGACACGGATTATCGACTCGGTGCAGTGCGAACGCTCGTATTACGAATCGTACAATAGGAACCCGGGTTAATTTTATCTTTCGACCTTTCTTTGTGCCCGGAGAAGCAGACAGGCCGTGGTTTAAGTGGATAACTCGATCTTCTAAAGATTGCCCGGAAATACATTGCCGATGCCCGCCGTGCCCGAATTAACTCTGTCGACTTAACGAAATAATCTGGTTACCGAGCTACTTGCAGTTGTACAGATTGACGATCAAAATCGAAAATTAATCCATTTAAGCTTAATATGGACCGATATCTACGTTAATTTCATTTGCGGCTGAGCATGGAATTAGCTCAGCTACGTTCATCATGATACGGTTTTATTTCCATCTAACCCGCAGCTGCCAACGTTAAACCAACGGTAGAATAAATCTTCGATCTTTTCTGACGAGTTTCTCGTCGATAATTAAATATCTCGTTAATTTTCGCGAATACTGTCACACAATCCTGCGATATATCTTTATACCCAATTCGGAACAAAAATTCTTCGTCACGTTATGTAGATTATGTTCGCTATATTTTATTATGGAATTTCATTGGTACTCGGTGTTATTTTTATTCCAGCATTCTTTGTAATTATTTTTGCTAATTAGTTCTAGTCGATACTCCATTGCTTCCACCGCGATAACATCATCTAGAGTGTCGAATAACACGGAGTTCCATGTTTATTAATTAAGTTTCGTCATACTTGGGTGGAGGAAGATTTTGAGGTGGGTCCCTTCCTCTGCCTGCTGGCTGCTCGTTAGCCTCCTCCGCGCGCAATATTGATATTTCCAGTTCGACTTTACCCTGAATCGATACGATACGTCACCTGAGACCACTTCAATGTTTCATGAATACTTCTTACAAAATAAAAATATAACCGCAGAAAGGTCGAGGTAAATGGATACACGTATACTCGATACTCGTTATCGTGCTAGCATTTCCAGCGCGTAATTTTAAGGGTGATCGAAAGCATTCATCTTAATGAAAACTCCCAAACTGCGCTTGATTTCGCGAGGACAACGTTACGATTCTTACGCGGCCCTCGAGAGGCACGAAGCAATGCAAACATTTATTTCGGTGAATGTTAACGAAGCTTCGAATTTTACGATACACACCGCCTGAATGTACTGGCCTATATCCACGCGTTGTTCAAATGGCCACCATGCTTTCACTCGCGATACTTTGAACAGGTCGATGGTAGGTAGGCTCGGATCGAGCAGCTTTAAAGTACAGTTCTTCGAATTCGTGCTTCCCCTTGGCATTCTGGACAGGTCCAACGTTAGTGCCCCTAGAGGAATATGGAAAAATATTAACGTAGACATCCCTCGTAGATAAATAAATTTATTCAAAGTTCCTTCTACCGATAAAATCGTCCGGAGAGAAATGGTCGTTGTCCCAAACTTGCAGGTATAATTTACACGGCAGCTTTTCCTCGGTCTCGCTTCTGGCAAGGATGGATATCTTTCTGCGTACGATCATAACGCGCTCGCCCTTGCAGTACATAACCCGAAACACAAAGCGCCAGTTGAAATTGCCTTCCCCCGTCAGCGAATTGTAATGGATGTCGGTCCTTTGATAATCGTCGTAAAGAATCCAGCTGCAATTGATCGTTCGATATTTATAGAACTTCTTCCGCTCAGAACCAGAAAGCCACTATAATTCTCGGTGACTTACGAGCTACTCCAACTTCAACGAATGATATAAGATAAAGAACCGCGCGATGGCGCGATTCCAGCCAGGGTTATTAGCTGCTTAAAAATTTACCCCTTTACGTAAATATCCGAGCACTTTTCCCCGGTGAGGAATTGGTTCTCGACCAGAGGTACATCCTCCGTGTTCCAGACTGTCACTCGAATTTCATATTCCTCTGGAACAGGCGGCCTGATGTCTACTGCCGGTTTCGGAGGAAGCTCGTCGAATTGAAACATGTCGATCCAAAGTTCCAATTTACCCTGGAGCATCGTTCGGGAATGCAGATCGCGCTTTTAGAACGACCAATGAATATTTAGGCGACCGAAAAAGTGTTCAATTTGCGAACGTCGCGTCAGGACGAAGTCGAATTTCCACTAGCTCTAGCTAATCATCCCGATTTCGTCAAAAGCCCCGAATCGACGTTCAAACGTTCGAATCGAATCTCTAAATTAATAAAATTATCGAAGAATAAAATTATATCCGACTATCGGGAGTAAATCCCAGCAAGCTTTAGATTTTTCTCTCCGAGAGGAGCCGAAGTTTTGCCAAAAGTGTTGCCAAGTTCGCGTTTTTCCCGGTACGATTTAATCTCTGTCGAGAATCTACGGTGGCTAAACGGAACGACTCGTCCTTTTTACAACCTGCTCCAACCCGGGTCTGATGGCGTTAAAAAGCGGTCGCCTTTCGACGTGCTCGGGCACCAGGACGCAGCCGCAAATGGGGAAATCTTGCCACTGATGAAGCACGCTCAATGCCATATATTCCTCCCTGTCTGAATAGGAGGCATCAATCACTGATAAAATACAATTCATTCTGGCGACGGTGTCCGCTTTCGACAAGAACGATTAATTCCTGAAACCGACCGGTTCCTGCTTGCCTCTCGGCACAGGCGAATCTTTTTCGGCCAATTTTCGCGTAATCGCCGTGGTACTCGGGCAAGGGAAGATTGTTCCTTTTGCACAGCTGTTCCAGTATCTGCGTCGGCCTCTCTCGGTCTCTCCACCTATTGTAGCCTTCTACGTTGTACGTAGTGGCTAGGCCACAGGTAGCACGGTGTCTACTGTAGAACCGATTCTCCAAGTCGACCCTCGTTTCTCCTATCAAATCATCGGCCGAGGTGGCGTCGTAGTCCCACACTTGCACGGTCATCATGTAATCTTGGGGGAAAGTGGCGTCGATCTCGAAGAGCCTGCAAATTTATCCACTTTAACCATCTGATGCGTCCTGATCTATACTTAACCCGGCAATGCGCGTCTTTCAAAGGCGAGGTTACTTTAAAAAGGTACCTCGGATAAGGTAAAGGGAATATAGGTCGTGTAATATTAATCGTGATAAATCTAATAGCCCCTCCTTGTCTGAAAATTATGAAAATTAATCATTTTCGAGAGGGCGCTGCGAAAAGCGCGCGGTCCTCAACGCAAAGTGGATGAAAGAGTCATAGCGTGACTAGGGAATCGCTAGGGAATTAAAGTGCCGTCATACCGTCCGAAAGTGGGATTCAGCTGGTTCGGTATGTAATTCTTTTTGTCGTTGATGTACGTTTTTCCAAGCCGGATGCACAGGTAGGGGTCCGACTTGCCGCTCAGGGGATCGCTTGGCTGCAAGTTGATGCCTGCGGATGTAATCGATTCGTTCATGTGAACTTGTCGCGTGTGAACGTCACGTTTCGCTCACCTTTTACGACGTAAAGCCTGACCAGAAGTTTGACGGGGTCCGAATGCGGATAATCGTCGCAGAGACCGTTATCAGCACTTCTACCGCTTCTCGTTTTGCAGGGCAGGTTGCTCGGATGTGGCCAACGGTACACGCAAATACGACCCTGCGGGTAAATTTTGCTTTCGTTTCCAGTTTTTCGTTTTTGCCTTTATTTTCATTTCCGTGCCGTTTAATCCGCAATAACTCGCAAATAAACTTCTGCCCGCTGGAATATCGGGATATAAAAACTATCCGAGACGTATTACGCGACGTTTATTGCGTCGTAAAAATTTAAGAAGACAAGTCACAGCGGTCTATTTCCGCCGTTGGAAATAATGCCACGAGATGTTCCTTTTGACTCGCGAAATTGTCTTTTAATTGTTCACTGGAAAACAGACACTTTCTTCCTGGCAAACCTCCAGGTTAGTTAATAATAGCTCGTTAGGTAAACTTTCTGCTTGTCAGCCATGGGTTCGCGAGCTCCCTTTGAATCTTACGTGAAATCTTCCTCGAATTTCGTTAAACGAGGCATTTACTTGAGCGGAAAAATAACAAAGCAACGTCTCTGAGACGTCAGGAACGACAACCGAGAGGATACCCTTAAACATTAAGCTCGTGACGAACCTTGAACTTTCCGACGTAATTTTCGCTGTCGTAGTCGGGATTCTCGCTCTTGCGCCCCTTCCATAGCTCGAACGTCCTCAGACGGTCCTGAAAGCCCGCGTATTGCGGCTGCATCTCCAACTCCCCGTCGTATACCTGTTTCCCGTCCAATCAGAGAGCTGAGCTGCTGAAAATACGCTAAAGCGTGGTACCTTGAACGTCGCCACGAGCTTCTGGTCACCTGGAGAAAAGCTGCCTAGCTCCCTGCTTCTTTCCTCCTGCAAACGCCTTGTTTCGCTTACCGGGGATCCCACGCGATTTACATACCCAGGATTACTCGCGTGACCGATTCCCTTTCGTCCTGCGCACCCACCTCCAGGGAAGCGAAATATTTGCTCCACCAATCCAGCGAGTCGTCCTCGCTCTCCGGCTTGCGCGCCATTTTCTTCCTCCACTTCCGTCTGCCGGGCACCAGGCGCTCGAGGAACCTCTTCAGAGTTCGCAGGATCTTCTTCATCAACGAACTTTTCTTCTCCATCTTCTTGTACGGAATTAAAACCTTGTTCTCCTCTATCTTCGATGGATCGTAATCAACTGGTAGGGGTACTTGGAAAAATAATTATTTTTTCAGGAAAATGATTGTATAATTGCGATTGGGTAGCTTTTTTATGTATTTAGGATTATTCGATGTCCTTATAGCGAAGAAAATAAATAGCATCCTCTCCTCAAAAATTTTTTACGAGTATTTTAATTAATGCAATGAAAATCTTTTTCACTCACGAGACATGTCTCTGTCACTAAACGGGAAGAATTCTAAAAATCTATAGACGGTGTTAGAATTGGAATAGTGGAAGGATACTATGAAGTAGCGTGACCAAACAATTCTAAGTGTTAATTTGTACACGATTGTTTTTCATCTTACCCCCAAATATATGTGCAAAATAGCGGAAGAATTTCGAGCGAGTGCAGAAGTGTTCGAGTGCAAAAGGTTAAAATCCAGTTTACAGGAATTTTTGCTAATTAATAAAAAGAGAGAGCGTGGTGTCTCTGGAGGGACATGTCCGCTAATAATTCGACGCTGGTTGATGTCGGTCTCGATTTCCGGCCAGACAATGGCCGGGAACACGTTCCACGAGTGGTAAAAAACGTTTGTTCGCAACGGATAAACATTCTGTGAAACTTTAATTAACAAAGTTTTCTGTTGCGTGCCGAGTGGAACGGTATTTTCCATGGCGTTATTAACTTCCGTCGAAACCGACCGCGTTCAAATATTTAATGACTACTTGAAATACCTCCGAAACGTTCGGACAGCCTGCTAGGTCGCGTGTTCGTACAGAGCCAGACGTACCGACGTAATTGGGGGTTGAACGATGTCAATATCTCACGCAAGAAGCGGTCGTTCCCGATTAACGTTTTTGCTCCATCAACGATTACGTTTCACGAGAAGAAACTTACGAATAGTGGCAGGCTGCTTTTTTGCCCGGGCAGATCTCAAAATCGATCTGGTCCCGTATACCTGCGCGTCGTAATCTGCCTCGGTTATCGGTTGCTCCAGGAATACGTAAATGCTCGGAATGATGCAGATCCCGATGTATTTGAAGCAACCGAACCCCCTGGAGTCGAAGGCCTTTATCGTGATGCAGGGGTAATAGACATCGAGCTCTGGCATGTCCTGCGAGAACGCTTTGCGTGAGAATCGGTTAGCGTTTGGAGTATTCTCGAAATAAGACTCGAAGGATAACAGCGATAATTGGATAATAGTGATAAACTTTAGACTCGTTACCAGCTCGACGATCACGTGAGTCTCCTTGTAGTTGCCGAGTTTCTTCGCGTTCTCCATCACCTCCGACTTCACTTGTACACCAGCGCACTCTATGACGATCCGTGGGTTCAACACGGGCACGAAATGCATCTTCTTCATATCCCGTACACCCCAGAATATAACTTCGAGTCTGTAATTCGTCATCTTCGGCCGGATGTCTTCCGGGATGTTGTAAATGACATCCTGCGTCGAAGGGACGATCGGTTTGTCCAGGGACTCGTCGTCCATTGTCTAGAGTAATACGTGGATATAGTAATTCTCGTCGATATTTCGTAAAGTTTATTAATCTCGTATTGGAGGTTTAAAAATAATTCGGTCACCAGCATTGGAGCACTTTTAACTGACTCGGAGAGTCGTGGCAGTTGATTTGGCACGATTACGGAGCAACGAAATTTCGCAACGAGACATCAATCATCGACTTCCGTTTATATCCATACGGCCGCGTTATTTTTATACGGTAACCTTTGCATTTCGATTCACGTTTGCGTTTATAAATGGATAGGAAGGTGTGCGTGGGTGCGGGGTATTAATCTCGGAATCAATCCGCGCAAAAGGTGACAGAAGGGTTCATTAGCGCGGGAGCGGAAATGGCTGCCTCTCGCTCGCCCTTGCGAGTCGAATATCGATCAGTATTGCCTCTCTCACCTCTATGAGCTCGAAAGCAGCGAGCACTGAGCCTCTGCAATCCCTTTGCGATTTAAATTTGTACCACTCAAGTTTCGGGGGGAAATCGGGCAGGGTGTAAGTTTCCTCCGCGAGTTTAACTAATGGAACGGCTGCGCACCTTCCGCAGAACTCCTTGATACCCTGCGAATTTCCACGGATTTCGGTTCGTCACGATACCTAGACGAAACTCTTCGTACTCCTCGCGATTTTCAATAAATTATACCCCCGTCGAAGTGCGCGTATTAAAATCGTGCAGAAGCTTCGCGAGGAAAAAGCCTTCTTATCTTTACTCACGCATATATCCTGATCGTACACTTCTACAGACACTTCTGGCGGGTTTAATTTGACGTACTCCTTGGTTCCGTGCACGGTTCTCGGCGGTAGTACCAAAGTTTGATCCCAGAACGGATCGAGAGTCTGCTTAATAACCTGAAAAATTTAGAATACTTCCAATCCCCCGGAGCACCGAGGAACCGAAGAATTTCCTCTGGATTCGAACTTCGCCGACTTCCTCTCCGTAAATATTTAATTTCACCACGGCCAGCTCGATGGATTCGAAAAATTCCGAGTGGCTGCAGGATAAGGTTCGCCACCGAGTTCTACGCGATGGCCCATTTTCCAATGGCGATCCACCGCCGGGAATGGGATCGCGGAAATCCCCGCGATAATAATAACGCGACGAGTTCAGCTCGGTTGCCAGGAAGCGTGGGTGAATTATCGACACGTGAAACTTACTCTGGTAGAGGCCGTGTAACCGTGAAACGCGACACGTACGATCGGATCCAATAAGCCGGATGCATCCATGCCTGGATCAAAGCGACCTTGGAATATGTGGGCGCGCAATTGAAATGCCTGCGAACGGGAAGAATCAACGCTGACATTTCGTAACATTTTCCACGGTGTTACACCGCTCCACCGTTTCTAAACCTGTCGAGGCTTTAAGACGGATCAACGTCGAGTTTCGAGATCGCGGAGGGCGTCGTTGACGGCGACGCTCGGATTACCAGCGGAACGACAACTGCGATCCGAGTCCTCCGAACGGATTATCTCGATCGTTCGTGGACGACGCGTTTCCGGATGGATAGATATCGCGATACCAGGTGGAAATCCTCGAGCCATCGTGGACATGGAAACGCGGTTTCGAAAGGTAGCAGAGAAGGAATAATTTTCAATGACGATGAGCAACGCAGAGGCTACAACGCTGACAGGGAACTGTCAAGCGCGTACACGGTTCCGCGTAAAAAGGCGTGCACACCGAGGGAATACGTTTCTCGAATGGTTTAAATTACATTTCGCGTTACCCTTATCAACCAGGCTTATCGTCCTTTCGATTGCTCGAGTCTGACAAGTGTAACGAGGCTATTCGATACCGGTATTCCGTGTCACGTTAGCAACCCGAGGATACATCTTTGACTGGAATAATTCTCGAAAGGGGAATTTTCAGAGCCCCACGAAAAAGGTAAATAAAGCTGCGCTAACGCTGGAAATTATAATCCCAGGTACGAGACGAGGTAATTAAAAAAAAAGGAAAACGGAGCTATCCTTGGCAAAGAAAAATGTACCCTCGTTTCAGCCAGGCGTCTCTTGAATGCCTACATTAATTAAAACCTCGGCTCTGTCCACGGACGAAACGCGTCGAAACTTGACCTTGCTCCTGCTTTTTCCACGACGAAGCTGTCGTACCGAGGAATGACTGTACTCCAGGTATCTAGGGAACGACCCGGGGTTCCAATCCTGGTCTACCTTGTAACCAGGTGGTATCGAGGCCCAGCAGGCCTCGATGTGGCTGGAGGTACCCAGCCAGAGGAACATCTCCAACTTGCAGGCCACGTAATCTGCATCCTCTTCGTCCCTTGGATCCCTCAGGAACAGGTTCACCTTCTGACCGCAAGATGGCCCCCTCTCTGTCGCTTCTTCCGAATAAATGACCCTTTCGGCCGGAAATCGCGCGTATGCCACACGTTTCGAGCAGCCGGCTATCATCCAAATGAAAACGTCCGGGAGACCGTGCTGGGGCTGGTAAATTCATAAGGAGTCTCGTGTTGCTCACGGTGGAATGAATTTTCCATGGAGGCGCGCGGAACGAGCAGGACTCTAGCGTTTAAATATTTCACCGCGATCCACGGTGTCTAAGATGGAAAGGTCAGCAGTTCGTTGTCTCCCGTTCTCCATATATGGGTGGAAACCGGAACGAGGAGGTCGCGTTGAGAGACAGAAAGTTTAGCACTCGCTTCCTTCTGTTCTCTAGGAATTGGTTACCGGGATTTACCCGAAACGAGTTAGCGAAGGAAAGAAAGATGAGAACTTCCTGTCGTCTTGTCAGGGTATTTAAAAACTTCCGTTTCTATCTCCCGACGACAGAAATATAAATTAAATACGTCTTCCGGGGAAGCTGCAAGTAAACCGAGGGATCTATTTGAAAGTAGAATAAACGAAGTTCGTAATTCGTAGAATAAACCGAATTTCCATGGGAATATCGACTAAACTTCGCAGGTAGATGAAAGAATAAAGCGTGGCCTGGAAGCTTGGTAATTTAGAGAATCTCGAGGACCACGACCTTTGATATTCGCAGTGTCTTTTCAACTCTTTGCGGCACAGGATTTCAGATAATGAAACAGACCCATGTCGCGTTTTAAATGAAACAAGATTGGTATATTTTTACTAATAAAGGAATCGCGTAATGTAAATACATAAAACCAGGAAAAAAAGGTGGTCGCGATAAACCTTCCACTTGTGACAATCGATGAACCTGTACTGGCATGGTGAATGTTGCCAACACGAACGAATACATTTATAACATTTGTCGAAGGTATTAGCAACTGCTTTACGTAAATAAGACGAAATATAAACCTATACGCATACAGCTATTGCAATATTTCGAGGTGGGACTAGAAATGTCCCACCATGCATCACGGTGCATCGAAAAGGTGGGACACTTAATCCCAGCGTGCCCCAAAGAGTTAAGAGACACCCCAGTTACGCGCATTCGCAAGCTTCTTCACCTTTTACCACTGCCAATCGATTACGTCCTAAGTACCTACCAAAAACACATGTACAATCGTCGTAAGTAGCCAAGCTATATATCTTTATATATTTCTTGGTACATATCTTATATACCAAGTATATATCAAGCTTTTAATCCCAGCGTGCCCCAAAAAGTTAAGACGTATCTTATTTTCAACATCTATTCATAAATATCTCGAAACTATCGAGTAGGTGCCCTTATAATGGTACATTTTCCTGAACTGGATGACTAAATCTACAAACCTGCAAAGTTTCAACTAAATCAATGACCCGTAGGACTTGCACTGTCCTTGTTAGTTAGGGAACGCTGGAAATTTACTCCTCGATGCAGAAAATTATTAATATCGTCCCTTAAAAGGTGGGACACTTTCAATCCCAGTGTGCCCCAAAGAGTTAAACAATCGTGAGACGGATCGTTCGCCTGACGAGAGGATATAAAACTCGACTCACATCTTCCCGTAGCCTTTTCACTTTGGCCAGATACTGGTACGCGTGCACCATCGCGATCCTCGTGTAGTGATTGTTCGGAAGTTCGCCGTTGATCTTCATCCTCCTCAGGATGTTCTCGATCTCTTTACGGCAGAGGTTCACGCGATGGCGATCGAGCTTCGTGGTGCCGCCCTCGTCGTCGTATCGTCCCGTGTCTAATGCATGCAAATAACGGATGCAGTGGCCCTTCATGGTACGGATCGTCTCGTTATAGAACTTGTAAGTGTCCGGATGCTCGAGCGCCACCATGCCATCCAGTTGCTCCAACTTCTGCTCCTGCCGCGACGAATGAAAATTATTCTCGAATCGTCGTTCCAGTTCGGAAACAAACTTGTCCTCGGTCCGATCGCGCCGTGAGAACCCGACTCGAGGATTTATAAAATATTTGTTTTACATTCGAGAAAACTTCCTGTTCGACCGGCGCGCCGGTTCCATATTAATCGCCATTCGCGACTCTAACGCGTTCGGCGTCATTGTGTTTGCACCGTTGCTATCGAGCGATCAAACGCCAACGAATCGCAAGCTTTTGAAAGTTTTCGGTGAAAGTTTCGTCTGGTTGATGGGGTGGTACGGTTGCTTAATGGAATCTCTGGAAGGAGGTAATTCGACCCCTATCGAAAGAATAACTCGCGCGTAATGGATCGCTTAGCCGAGACTTTGGCAGCGATTTGATCGCCGTAAATCGTGACCATCGGGTATACCCAAGTTTTCGAAACGGAGAAGAGAAATATGAAGAGAAATAAGCTTACCAGGAAGTTGGCGATGAAAGTTAGGCTGTTGCTATTGTGCATTCGCCAATCGAGATTCGGCCACCAGGATCTAACGTGCAAACACGGTTTCCTCGAGCCAAGGGGCACGTAATTATATTTGCCATCCAGCGTTCCACTCAATCGTGGCACGGTCTCGCTCTCGAAGACCGGTCTCCGGTCTGGCATCCGGTTTCCTGTTTAGAATTAATCACGTTTTACAGAGTGCGGTCGCACATGGCGCAAACTTGTCAGGCGTATTAACAAGTAATTGGAGAATGGAAGCGTAGCTTGGCTCGGAAGTTCGAGTGTCGGCTCCCAGATTCGGCCATTTTCCACCATTCGAAAGGAGTTGTTAACGAAAGTATACAAGAGAATCCAATACCATCGTTATTGTCCTCGAAGCACTGGCTGCGGGCAAATTGTCTGTTGCCGGCGTTGCCTAGGCTAACCTCGAAGCTTATCGATTTCGTCCAAAATTTTCGTCGATCGATCATGCTCGCGTCGTACAGCACGGAAACCAGGTAATATTCTTCGGTCCTCCACAAGCTTCTCTTTAAAAACGGAGATCGTCGGATGTCATTAGCGGTCGAGGATTGAAGCGGAAGTTACGCGTACGCGTACCGAGTTTGCTATTCGTTGGTAAGATACTTTGAACGAGTCTCGGGGATTATAATTCTTTTAATTAGTTTCCCAATCTTACAAGATTCGAGGAGTCTGATAAACGAAAGAAATTCGAGAGTCATTAACACGTTGACTGCTATAGTGGTCATCAGTGACAATCGCTTGACTTCTCAAGGGGGCCATGGGGGTCACCAATATCCAGCGTTACTAATTTTTTAAATGTATATTTGCTTTATTCTAACCATTTTTATAATAATTCAAGAACGGAAATGTTGGAAAATACCGTGGATGAGTTAGATTTTACGGGGATAATCGCCGGATTGCTTAGAAGGAAGTGACTTCCATTGTTGGGTTATATTAGTAATTATCGAAAATACCAGATGTCGCTAGAAGCGTCTAGCAACATGGAACGCGAAATTAGAACTCTCCAGCAGTAAATAAATAGAGAACTTTAAGTAGAAAACATTAATAATTTGCACCATTTTATTTTTTCTTTGTCATATAGTTTGTCATCATTATATCTCAAAATTAATGAAAATTTTACCGTGGCCCCCATGGGCATCCCGTATAAAAAGTGCGTGACAGTCAATGCGTTAAACTATCCTTGTTTTCCGCCTGCATGTACGTCGTAAAGCCATACCATACAAGAAAATTCTCATAAAGCCCAGTACTATAACGACTGACATTAAATTCGCCATAACGAAAGCAACCATATGTGGGTCGTTAAATCGATGAAACGAAGTAATGCTAGGATATTTTATACGTTATTTACGCGCTCATTCTTCGTACACGCAAAATGAAGCGTGACATCGAATTAATGTTTATCGCCGGCGGACAAACTGTCGCTTTATCGTGTTTATCCAAGTCTTCAATTATTTCGCAAATCCATTTTACGACGCGAGCTTGGACCGAATCATGCGACATTTATGGAATAATTGTCGAATTTAACGTTATCGCTACGATCTAGTCTTACTTATCTTTAAATTGGTCTCAGAGGGATCGTTTCTGCTTCATATTTTACACTCGGCTTCCTTCTTTCAATTTTTCATCGCGTGTACTTCCACGACGGATTATATAATTTAAAATTTGAAATTGGAAATTGGAAATTTGGAATTTTATATTATAAAGTTCTCGTTTTCAAATTGTTCATATTTAGGCGACCCCGGCTAGCTAGAAGCTGCGATGGACGGTAGAAATCGAAGTATAGAGTGAAAATTAATCACTGTGGACGTACCTCGATAATGGGAGCCGCGAGGTCTGTTTCGACACTGGTTCCAGCCGTTGTTTCTGAGTCGTCCATTTCGGTTTTTACCGAGAGAAGAACTCTGCCGCGATAAAAAGGAAGGGCTGTCGAGCACTTGCCGAAGCAGCTGTTCCTTTCTGTAGCCCCGGATCCGTAAAAGTGAAGGAACGATGGGCCAAAAGTCGGTAGGAAGCCTGATAAAAAGCACACGCGGTCACACATCTCGCCATTCCATATTTCGCAATTATTCGTGAAAAACGAAATCGTAGACGCTCGTCAAATGGCTTTTCCATGTCGATTTTCCAGGCTACGTTTTATCGTAGGATAATATAAACAATCGAATTAAACAATATAAATAAGTGTCGTACAAAGTAAAGTTCCATTTGAAGCCATTCGATATTGAATGCTTCACGTACAAGCGCCGGCCATATATCATCGGTGTTGTATAGCTAGCGATATGGGAATTTTTTAATCTGAAAAGTTCAAACAGCCGATCAATCTACGATTTCCATTTATTTTTCACTTTATAGATCCATCGCGATGAAATCGTTTTATCGCCATAAAACTAAGGAGTGGTTGAAATAACACTGCACGGTCCAAGTACGAGCGAGAATTTTATAAAATGGCGAGAAAGAGGGATGGACCGGGCTCGATGGAATAGAACTGACGTTACATGACGTTCGTTACGTTAAACGCAGACGAGTTACCTGCCCCTGGGGAGGGGGTAGAAGAATTTAAAGTACAAATAGAGCACTGCAAACAGAATTGGTTAATCAACGTTTCGTTCGCAGCTGGTTATTTGAATTTCGTTTATATTCCACTGTCCAATTTTTTCATTCGTCCATTTCGATTCGATGCTCAGCAGTAGTCCGCCATGTTGTTCCTTGGATCCTTTACACCCGATTTTAACCCGATTTTCGACACTCGTCAAATTTCTAAAGGCTCGAGGATGTAAGGATCACTCGAATTTACCATATTCTCCTGCATACGATATGGTGCTCATGTTCAGGATGTAAGAAGCCACGACACACGTCCGACAGCTGTTAACACGGTGCTTGATGGTGATCCTGACACGCTGACACAGAGATGGAAACATTTCTCTGAAGGTAATCTTCTCGTTGAACCTCGGTCTATAGGTTTGCCATGCTTCTCTAGTAGTTGCCTGAGAACTCGGAATTAAAACGAAAAATACGCGTGAAATTGTGCAAGCCCTCGAATGAAATCAAAACGGATAGAATATATTCCTTTGTAAGTGAAATTCGTATAATTTTGAATAATTTTGAATAATTTTCACGAAATGGTATTTTATTACCATTCGGTTTCAATAATAATCGGCCCACCTTCATTCCAGCGAACGATATCTGCACGAACGGGTTAATATTCTCGAAATCATTTTTCACGCAGAGGCTGCCCATATCTGGCAAACCGTCGGCTCGATAAATCGCAAAAATGTAGCACGCCCGTTGCCTGAAGGGCAGAAATTCCCCACCGACAGGCAACAAGAGGTTCCTGTAATTATTCGATTTCCATTAATCGGTCGACAAGCCAGCGTGTTCCGAATTCGAGCCCACCCCCGAATCGATTCCGCGACACGCGTCGAGCGGATTCCGCGCGACAATAAAACGGGCACCGGAACGCGCCCCTATTTTCTGTCGCGCGGCAAAGCGTGGGCGTGATATACGGGGGCGAACGAACGTATGCCGGGGAAATTAGGGTACATCGACCGAAGGAATCCACGGGAAGATGATCGAAGGTTCGGATAAATACTATGCAGAATTTTCGATGACCGTATACTAAATTGGATACGTGGATGGAATATAAGTAATGCACCGGTGATCGAACACGGGGTGTAATTGAAATTCGGAGCGGCAAGGGGTTGCAGATTTTTTGATCGATCTGCGCGCGATTGGGCATTATCGAGTGATTGTATATTTGAATATAAATAACGATTCAGGGGTTATATCTGCGGCAAGGAAGAACATATTTTCATTTTCCACAATTCCAATTGTACGATGTATCGACATTGAAAGTACCGAACATTGATTCCTCTCATTTGCATTCGTTTAAATTGCACGATACGTTTTCGTTCGTTTTCCTTTTTCCTGATGAACATGCAAATTGGCTTTTCTTTTTTTTATATTTTCGGAAGGCAATTAGCGAATGAAGTGAAATTTTTTTTAATTTTTTTAAATCACGATACGTGGCGTGTTACTTTATAAGTGGGAGTATGTACTGTACAATTCGAAGAGAAATTCGATATAGGGGTATGAATGTTGGAACGCGTTTTAATGAGATATCGAGCGAGCGAAGAATTTTAATGCGAGAAAGGTTTCACTACTTTTTAATTTAATCGCGGAAAAGGGGAGTGTCCAAAGTTCTTCTATTCAGAAGTTCTTAATATGGTGGAGGTAGTAAGTGGCGTTACTTGTTAGAGTATTTTGAGAGAAAAATTACCCCTCGATGTCGTCCTCACCCTCTGTTTCCGGGTGCACTTTCATTTTCTCACCTTTCACATTAATTGCGATATTGCATTTAACGTAACCTTTCGGGCCAGCATAAGGATCCTTGGGATTGGTCAACATTGCCCACTTGTGATAATATTGATGATCTGTCCGGATAAATTTACCACGTTATCCGTGTTTCGATTTAAAATCGACCGATCGAGTAACGTTTACGTGGAATTACGTTTATTAATATTATCTGAAAATATTACCTGGTTGATCCCATACCAGAGCACTTTCGAAAGTCGTGCTACCATAAAATTTCAAACGGAGGTAACTTTTCAAATATACGGCTATCATAATTTTGGTGCTGAGAAGTTCCTCCAAGTTGCAGAATAAATCGAATACAAAGTACTGCAATATGGTTGAAGAATGTAATAAATGCGGGGAATGAAGTTTTCGTGGAACGTAAATTTTCGAAATTTTACCTCGTTGTAGACCGGCGAGTCCGTTCTCTCGCGCACCACGGTCTTTTTCCGGCGATTGCCCACTTTAACCACCACCATGGGATTTGCATTTTGGGGTAAATACCTCGCTTTCAGGATATTTACGCAAACTTGATAAGCATTCGGTCGAAATTTTCTGGGGCTCATCGCGATTCGATACACTCGATTATTTGCATTTGATGTACGCGCTGTTTCATGTATCGTCTGTTTATACAGCAAATTTCATGGTCTTGTTTATTCACGATTAATTAATGACATATCTATATTCGATAACGTTCGAATCAGTACGTGTATCTGAGGCCCAGAATTATTTAAATGAAATTGCTTTTTAAATCGTTATATTTTATTTCTGATTAAGGCGATTCTTGCTGGGAAATAATAAATTGCCGGCGCAAAATAAGCGCTGTATGCTTTATAACAATTTGTCAATTTTTTAGTAACCTCCATAAATTCTGCAAATTAAAACTGCGTTTAAATATTCTTGCTCGATTCTTCGGAGAGATGTTAAATAAGAAGGGAAACTGAACGATGTCGATGGAATATTAAATTTTTCTTGAAAAGAAAAATATACAAGTACCTAAGTAAGATCAATGAATAATTGTCGATTAATAATCACGATCAATATTAATTCGCGTGAAATTAATAGTACAGATAAATGAAATTTATTGGTTGAGAAATTGTTTAACGCGTGTGATAATGTTTTATAATAATTTATGGCTTTTTAAATTTTGAAGCGCACGCGTCTGCTGAATTATTTTATATCTTAATATACGGCTACGTTAAAGTATTCTTATTGCCTCTTTAATTACTCTGGGTAAGGTGCAATGAAAATTATGCGCATGTAAATTTTTTCAATAAATAATTCATCCCACGATACATCGCTTTATTAAAACTTTTTGTATTTTCACCTGCTTTATCGATTACGATGATTAAGTGGAATAAAATTTTACAATTTTTCACTCTAAATCTTGTACATTGCAAGAACCGTCTTTTTACTCAACGTCGGTAATTCAGTCTTATTTGAGCGCACATCCATGAGAAGATAAGCATAGAATTTCACTCGTGATAATATTCCATAAGACGATAAGTCCTCCATCGACCAGTTCTGTGCCAGCTACCATCGGTAACTCGCAACCATAAACTCAGTCGATACGTTTCATATTTTCTCTCGGATTTCTATTTCCTTCCATCTAACTAAAAATATATAATTTATGCGTTTATTTGCTATCGAGAAATATATAAACAAATCTTGAACTATGTTTAACTTTTTATTAAACAAAAATTAAATTACGTTAAAAATTTTCAATTCCCAGAAAGGTACCTCAGAAGGTACAACAGGGAGCCGAACAGTGGAACGCAAAATCTTTCCTGTTTTATCAACCTCGTTATTGATCCTTTTACTAGCCTTTACTGTTCCTATGTAGCTATTACAAAATTTCGCAATGATATTGCGTATCATCGAAAAACCAAAAACTGGTTCTAAACCGTGGATCGTCGTTTTTCGATTAAAAAATTTCGCGAATGTTGGGAAAAAATCATTTTTATGGTAATGAAACATTTGGAGGATCGCAATGCCCCAGGAGTGCTCGCTGTGTCGGATTTAACGCTGACTTTTCAAAAGTAATTTTTCCTATTTATTGAACCGGATAACCGTATAAATCCAATTAAACCTACCCCGTACTACGATTCCCGCGGAACCCTCTAGCCGACACGGAAAAATTACATACGAGGGTTTTACCGTATCGCGTAAAATCCGCACCGAGGCTGCCATGGTTGTTTCGAAAAGAATTAGAGCAACGAAGTCGAAAATCGCGTCGCGGGTTCTCGGATCTCGTAACGATCCGATACCACGATAGATAACGTGCGATTTCTATTATTCATACGTGATTTCCTTCGAACAATCGACAGTGGCTTTTTCAACTCGCTGCCTCGCGTCACCGGCCTCGAAGGCTGAACTGTCAGACACAAGTGTGTGCTTCACACGTCAATTTGCGTAGCGGTGTGTAAATAAAAATGCTGCGCGATGACGTGCTTCAACTTATTCCCCGATTGTCACAGCACCGACTATCGATCAGTGCGTGGAAATTAGTCCACGAGTTTCTCCACGATCTGCCCCTGTATTTACTCAGCTATAGATTCGTCGTGTGAATAATTCAACGATAATTGATTTTCCGAGCAACCGATTTCACCCAAAAGTCGTAGAACGCTGTGACACGACGCGTGGGTTTCATCGCAATCTCGAAACGTCTTCATCACCGAACAATAACGTCGTTTACTGCCACCCCTGTGTCAAACTACGGATCAAATCTGTCAATAATTTAGCGATAATTAATTTTCCGAGTAACCAATTTTACCCAAAAGTTGTAAAACGCTGAAACTCGACGAAACGTCTTCATCCCCGAACATTACCGTCGTTTACTCCCACCCCTGTGTCAAACTACGGATCGATTCCGTCAATAATTCAGCGATAATTAATTTTCCGAGCAACCGATCTCACCCAAAACTCGTAAAACTTTGGAACACTGTCCATGTGATCGCAATCTCGAAACGTCTTCATCCCCGAACAATACCGTCGTTTACTGTCACCCCTGTGTCAAACTACGGATCAATTCTGTCAATAATTCAGCGATAATTAATTTTCCGAGCAACCGATCTCATCCAAAACTCGTAAGACATGGTAACACAGTGTGTCCATTGGATTGCAATCTCGAAACGTCTTCATCCCTGAACGAAACCATCGTTTACTCTCAGCTCTATGTCAAACTATGGATCAATTCTGTCAATAATTCGGCGATAATTAATTTTCCGAGCAACCGATCTCACCTAAAACTCGTAAAACTTTGGAACACGGTGTGCCCATTCGATCGCAATCTCGAAACGTCCTGTTGCACGAACAAAACCGTGGTTTATTCTGCCCTCTGTGTCAAGCTACGGATCAATTCTCGATCTCTATTCTCATCGAGCCGTTGGGACGTCGTCTGGACCAAAACGACTTTTATCAGCAACGAAACACGAACGATGGCCATTCGAGTATGCCAATTAAACCGACTCCGTGCAAGTGGACTTCCCTTAAGCCGGCGTAATTATCACCCTTAAATCAGCGACTTTACGAGATTCGAAAGACAAACTGGTCGATTCTGCCTATCTTTATCTCGCTCTCCCAGAGCCTACGCATATATTACGTATATATTAGCCTCGCGATAATCGCGTTCACCCCACGCCGCGCAGCACGATCCTCGGGCAGTCGTCAAAATTCGACCTGCGCGTAAACTTTTCCACTAATGATGCGAGAAATCACGGTATCGGTGACACGCGTCGCGGACAGCTCGTCGGGATAAAAACGTCACGTCGTTTCGGCCCCCATCGACTAGGATCTCTATGGGGCGTGCACGAAACAGACGGACGGAATAGCGTAGGGCGTGCACGCGCAATTCAGGAGCTATTACAGGCACGCGGTTTATTTCGACACGTGTCTTTACGCCATCTCGTCGTTCCGGGTTCCGCACCCGACGCGTATCGCATATTTTCGCCGATTATCCTGCGCGACGTGTCAATGGCAACGAACAGATCTCGCAGGACGTAGCTAGCCTCTGCTACCCTGCTCAGGTGCCTCCATCGCGACCCTCCGTCTCTTAGACAGACTCTACCTGAAGGACACACTTCGACGAACCTGATATACGAAGGATATTCAAGTATCCGACGTTCGAAGTCGACGTTCGAAGACTGCCTTGTCATAATTCCGTCAGATCGATCGGCGTGCTTCGTTTTGGGTGAAGGTTGCTCGCAGGAGTAGGCAGCTCGATCGACGGCATTCTTGGTAGCATTCTTGCGGATTCGCGAGAACTAGGCGATAAAGTCTGCTCTACGATTCTTCGGAACGCGCGAGGAATACGGAGCTGAAACGTTCGTCTGGTGACCGATGTTTCTCCATTCGAGTAACGAGAAATCGTGCGAACGCTTACGGGAAAATCATGCGTCAGGGGTAACGCGAAATTATTACTTATCGCGACGGCTGGTAACGATCCGGGAAGGCAGAGGAGAAGAAAAGA